AATAACTGCCCAGCATCCTCTGCCCAACCAATCAGAATGTAGGAAAATCTACAGATATGACGGAATCTACTGTGAATCTACCTACCAGAAGTATGTTGAAATCTTTGTGAGTCTTCCTTCTGGCTCGTGCATCAGTGCTTGTGGTTGCCAGCTATTCAAAAATATCCTTGTATTGAAACCTTATATTTCTCTCATCAAGTGGGGAAAAAAAAAGCCAAACCAAACAAAAACCAACAAAATTTGCCTTTGAAATCAAGACCGAAAAAAATGTTTATACTTTTGAAACTGTGGTCTAAAAGTTTTTTAAAATGACTATATTAATAAAGCTCTTAGGTAAGCTTCTTTATATTGCAATAAACAAGTACTTATATGCAAGAAAATCTCGGCAAAATACATTGCACAGGTGCTACGCATCTTAGGGATTTGAAAGGTGTGTTATGTATAAATTAGCTGTCACTTTTTTTCAATCCTGTAATGGAATGATGAGTTGTAATTTGCATAATCCTTTAAGAAGTCAAATTATACTGTCATGTAGCAGACTTAACATGCTAGCTAAGATTTCAGAGCTTTGCAGCTAATTACTATGTACCTTACAGGACAGTTAAATTGAAGTTGAGTCCTCTGCCTTTGCTGCCATTTGCTTTGTCCATTACTTAACAGAATCTGCACTGTTGGTAATGAGGTGTTGTTACTATCACTGAAGTAAACACTCTGCTCTGGGAAGGAAAGGCATTTTAATGTATCATAGCTTGACTTGTGTTGCTTTTGCTGAGAAGGAAGTTTTTGTTTTGTTTTGTTTTTAACAATAACCTAAATTGGAGTCTTCCAAAAAGCTTAACACCTAGGCTTTCCATAAAAGTTGTGGAATACTGATTGAAGCAACAGTAACCATTAATTAATTAAGTTATTCTGTAGAAAATAGAAAATAAGGTAAACAGTTACCCTGAAGGCATTAGACTTTCCGGATAGACTTTGCAAATATACTTCAGTGTGTTTTTTGTCTTCAAACTCTTAACTTCTTTTGTAGTCGAGTTCTGTTATTGAAAAAAAAACACCCTTTTTCCTTAAAAATCCTTTTTTGAATACAAGCTGGTGAGTTCTACTTTCATTTACTCCTCTGATTGGTTGTACAGCATTTTCTTTCATGGTTTCCATTTTATAATCAGCAAAGTCTGGAGCCAGTGAAGACTGCTCTCTAAAGGGGACGTAAAATGGATACTGGATGGAGCTGGGATTCTTCCCTGTATCTTTGCTACTTATTTCTCTCTGGCTTCTTGATATTCTGTTGTCTTGATAGCATTATTCTTTTCATCAGAATTGGTTTCATTATAATGCTAAATTGTTACTGATTATTTTCAAAAAAAAAATTCTTGTTATCTGTGAGTCATCCTTATTATGGCTCTTGGTGGTCAGGTTCCTGTAATTTGCTCGTGGTTTTGTGGCTTTGTTGTGATTCATGGATACTTTGAAAAAGCCTTTTGCTGTGTAAGAAGGGGGTTCTTTACGGACCATCTGAAAACAGCAGTTGACTGTTGACCATTCAAGTAATTGGAGGCCAACGGCCAACTGTTGTTTATTTGTAATTAAGCCAATTTCACGTGTCTGAAATTACTATCAGGTTAGGGGCGGGGGCTTGTCAATTTAAAGTTGGGAGCCTGGATGAGGTCTCCAGGAATTCAGCCCACAGGAAGGTTACCCTTCTTACTGTAGGTATTATCTCAAGACCTGGCTTTTTTTTTTTTTTTTTTTTTTATAAAGAATTTGTGTTATTTGTAGTCAAGGTAGACACAGTAGGCAGCACAGCTGTGACTGCCAGGGAAAGTCACTAGGGGGATATTCATAACAAGGAAATATTGGCAAATGAATGATGAAGAAGGGGAGGAAATCTCCAAGATGTTAAATTGGAGCACTGTCACTGAGATGATTAATGGTGTTGTGTATTTTAGTGAAGACGCTTATCTGGATTGTCTTGAAACTATAGTGTACATTTAATAGCACCTATAAAAAAGCATGTGGTGCATGAACACATTGAAGAGAAAAGTCCATGGATTCAGCTTTCATTTTCCTGAGTGAGTATTTTCTGCAACTCAGTCTTTGGTTTCTGGTTATTAGAAAGCTGGTCTTAGTGTATGTTATATAGTAGAAGTATGTATATTTTATATAATAATAATTGGCATTATATAGCTCCTTTTCCAACAGGACTGGAAATGTTCTTTTTTTGTGAAAACGATGGGTACCTTTTCAACACTGTTGAATATTATCAATAATAGGGAAATGACGATTGCTCGGATTTGCCTCGTCTTCCTGGGTAAATGGGCAGGTTGGTCACAGGGCCACAGAGGATGAAGGACCAAATTTTCGTCAATGATGGGGTCGGTACAGGTTTCTTAAAAATTTCTCTGTCAATTTCGGGTGAAGGGGGGGGTTGTTGTGGAAGGGACTCTAGCTTTCACTTGTAAGCCATGACTATCCTGATTCTATGTAATGAATTATCACTTGCCTTGAAGGATCTTTTGTCACTGATGGCAGGTGCATCTTTAGACACTTATTTAACCTTATTGGGCCGCAGTAATTACTACTAGACATCGGGATAGATGTAGACTAATGACCTATAATTGTGTCTTCAACAAGCTTAGTCTATTTCAGCACTGTTTCTCAATTTTGGGACCTCTACCCAAATGGTGGGGTACGAATCCAATTTAGTGGGTCAAGATAAGAATGAAGAAAAGGAAAAGAATCGAGAGTTTTAGTGCATTCCATATATGAGAGTGTGTTTTATCTTGAGAGGCTTCTGTTTTTGTTTTATGTGTTTGTGTAAGTATACATCACATGTGTGTGTGCATGGGGTGGGCCCTGAGGTGAAACATCTCTTAATATGTGTTTTTTATCTAAAAACTGATGGAAAGCTTCTGCAGTACAGTTGGTAGATAAATGTATAAATATAATAATGTACAGGTATTATGTCCTTATGTGCTCAGGATACAGCAGGTTATAAATGTTGGTGATGTGAAAAGGGTTCGGGAATGAAAAGGCTGTACTATCTGGTTCCTCCTATCAGAATGTGTTAGTGCCAACTTGCATGGGCCCATGAGAATCCATTGTATGTACATATTTCCCATTCTGTGATCCCTGACCTCATGTTAGTAACTGGAAATTGGGCAAAGTATTTGCACTATGGAAATTGGAAAATGCTGCAAATTGGGTGCCCTTCTGTCTGCAACTAGTTGTTAAATATTTACCGGAACATCACTGTTCTTAATCCTTCCCACTGTAATTCTATTGTTTCATAAACTGTGAATTTGCTTCTATTTTAACAGAGGTTTGACTTGAATATTACTGGGAATTATTGAAGTAAATAATTTGAATTACCTTAAAGTACATAGGAATAGAAAATTGTGATTAATTCAAAATGTCTATAATTAAGAATTTTAAAACAATGGCAGTTATCCTAACTTCTTACATTAAGTGCTCATGATGTGGCCAACTGAAAACTTAAAATTGTAATTGGTGATAATGAATTTTTTGGCAAAGGGTAGGAATACAAGATTTTCAAAAACACCATAGTGTTGGGGCAAATTTTGATGAAACTTAAGCACTTTGGTAAGTTCTGAAACTTCTAGAACCCATACCCTTTGCTCCATTGTAAGCTGTCTTTAAGTTTCTAATCATATTTCTGGATTTTAGTGAATTCATCTGTAAAATAGTTGGTTTGACTGGGAGATGCAACAGTTCTTTCCAATTAAAACAATTGTCTTGTTTCCTGTTTCCCCACAAAGAAATAAAAGCAGTATGGAGGGTCTGAGAAAAGACCAGACATCGCCTCCATAGTAACTATGATAACTTTAAACTTGTAAATGAAGGCAAGAAAATGCTCGGGTTGGAAAGGAAATTTTCATGGACATGAGAGGAGTTTTACCACAAAATACGGTGGAAATCACCTGTGTTAATATGTGAATGCAAGAGAAGGAAACTAGAAAGGAACAAACTGAGAAAGGATTTCATAGCCTCCAAGGTGGACAGAGTTCAGCTGTGTGGTTTGACACGACCGTAGCTGTGTGTAAGAACAACTGTTTGACTGAAATTTTGAGAAGACTGCGTCTGGGGAGACGGGAGCTCAAGTGACTAATGTTCCTTGAGCACATGCCAAACTGTTGTGACCACGTCTGCAGTGCCCATTGTAAACAAAGGGCTTTAACCCAGGGTTCTTAGTCTCCATGCGCAGCCAAGATTGAGAAGGTGTTTGTCACTCACTGATGAGACCAACTAGAGCGGTCACCGAAAGAAGCCATTGGCAAAATGGTGAGGTTTGTCTGTTTTCTGCCTCTGCATCCAAGCCCTTTTACCTCTGAAATTCATTCCACCTGGATACCTGGTTCATGTCTCATGCCCAGGCCCTTCCCCACAGGCATTTTTGTTTGTGCCCCTCCTTGCAGATCAGGTGTTGTTAACTGATAATGTTGCTCTTCTCAGGACCCCTTGCATTTTAATAAGCACCTTGCAGTGAAAGAATTCGAGCAAAAAGGGAGTTGCTCTCCAATGGAATGATTGCAGATACCATGACAGAATTGGAGAGATTAATTTCAGGCTAGAAGGTGATGTTTTCTTCCTTTCTTGATGAGACACTCAGAAAGAGGGCATTCCCCTGCTCAGGGTAGCGTTAAGGCTGGCTTTGGCCAAGAGGCATGGGTTTGGAAATGGGGAAAATCCAGACTCAAAGGAGAGAAGGAATTATCAAGGTCCAGAAGAGGAGAATGAGTGAAGAAGGAACTCATCAGTCATTATCAGCTATGTTGTGCCAGACAGAGTGCTAACCACTTGCACATGTTATCCCAATTAAGGAGACCAAGACCGGTTCCTTGTCAGGCAGGCTGCTGGGGGGGGTGGGGGGGTGGATAGGTGGTCACCTGTGTTGATGGGGAGGGAAAGGTCAAGGAAGCTCTAGAAGCAGCAGCAGCAGCAAATTGTTTTGATTGTTTAACCTGATTGATTGATGGCAATTATACAGCCCCCATCCACCTCCCCCCCCCCGCCCCCGCCCCTCTCCCCCCAGCCATTGGAATAATTTATGCCAGTTGTGTTTGGATCAGTAA